AAATATTTATTTTAGCATAACAGAAGCTGAGTGTGTGTCACAGTAGCTGTACTGTGGGAATACAGGAAGCGACTTTCATGTTCCTCCACTTGACAGACAAAGGGCAAGGTCTAGGCACATATGTCAAATTATTAAAAGTAGGTATCTGCCTACCTTATGTTCTGTGTTATCTTTGTGCATGTTTAATTTGTTTTATTAATGTTGTCTTGTTTCCCTTGAGAGAGGCGGTTTAATGGGCTCTGGGGACAGTACAAAAGCACAGGTTGTCTCTCCGTGGGAAAATACAGAAAAGCACCTGGCCAGATACAGAACAGGGAGTGGGTAGGCTCCACAGTTGGCGGGGGAGGGAGAGGAGTGGTCCCAGGGCCCTCGATGGGAGCAGAGCCTTAGCATTAGAGTTGGAGAAGGCACCCCAGGATTCGAGGGGTGAACTCCAGGAGGCTGAGGATGGGCCCTGGAAGTCTGCAGAGGAATCTAGGGACCTGAGAGTGAATGGCAGGAACAGGTCAGTGGACCCCAGAGCCAGCAGGAGCAGCTGAAGAGACCCTGGGGCCCCTGCGGTGCAGACCTAACAGAGGATATGGGGACAGTGGCAGGCCCCCTAGTGGGGGTGGGGGAGAGACTCAGGCCGCTGCAGCCTTGGGGTAAACTGTTCATGGAGGGAGGGTTGCTTTCCCCCAGGGACACCCTGTGGGGTGTCTGAGTGGAGTGGAAGTGACTTCTCCATCTTGTAGTGAAACTGGAGGAAGAACTGCTTGGTTTCCAGGTTCCAGGGAGTCCAGACCTTGCCTTCAGCCTTGTCAGTCTCTGTGCTGGGAACTTTGCTTGAAGGCGATGGTCTTGCTGGCCATCAGCAGGTACTGCCAGCTGGTCCTGGCGCTCAGTTCTCTGCTCCTAGGTGAACTTGAAACAGTGGCAGGGCATAATGTCCTCGGCACTCTCAAGGTAGTTCACGTGGAACTGAAGGCTCTGCTGGTCTCTGTGTCCCATTGCTTGGTCACTTTGTAGCCAGGACAGCCAATCTGCATTCTTCTCCTCCACCTTGATCTCTCTCTTGGTGCTGGCTGGGCAGGAACCTCCTTGGTGTTCTTGTCTACTCGCTGGGCCAGTTGGTCTGGTGCTCCATTTCCAAGTGTGTTCCAGGTAGTTCCCCTTGTTATCGTGAAGAGTCAGACAGAGCCTTCACCGGTAGGATCCCAGTAGGTTTTTTCATGAAATATGAATCCTTATTGTGTCAATGGTTTTAGCACCAGCTGCTGGAGTTGCTCCCTGCAGTCCTGGTTGCTCGGGGAGGAGGAGGCCACATGTCCCTACTGCCCTTTTTGCCAGGGGTGGTGTTGGATGTCCATGGTAAGCGTCTGGGGGCTTCACAGGGCAGTCAGGGGACAAACTATGCCCGAGGCTGTGCATCCAAGAGACAACCACCACCGCTTCCCTGCACCTTAAATGTTTTCTTTTGATTTTTCTTATAGAATTAGCCCAATTCCATACAATGTCACATGAAAATCTGATTTTACAACTTTGGGAGGAGGTTGATAATGAATCATCAGGTGATTTGGCTACCTATGATGTCTTGGATCATTAAGCCAAGAAAGTAGACACAGTGAGATGGAGCAAGAAATGAAGGAGGAGTAGAGAATGAAGACCTTGATTCAAATGAGGAAGAAAACAATAATGTAAATAAATATTTGATTAGTCAAAGTGCTACAAAATGGTGATGTACAATCCATCATTAGAACTAGGTCAGAAAATATTAGTAGGTTCGTGCCTGGGGTGAAACCTATTGGAAAAAATGCCAACACTGTGATTCAATGTTGGAAATTGTTTGTAATGTAATGCTACAAGGTGTTGTGAAATACACTAACTATGAACTACAAGTAAAACATTCTATATGCATCAATAATATATATATATATATATATATATATATATATATATATATATATATATATATATATATATATATATAATACTATGACACCTCACTATCTGACCTCAAATCCTTCATAGCAGGACTTTATCATTCTAACCATCAGAATCTAAAGGACTTGTAGAGAAGTGACAGATGTGGCATTGAGATACTCAATGATACTCAAGAGATTTTGTTTCCTTCAAATTGTATATATTTTAATAACAGAAACACCAAGAAAGAAAAAACAATCTAATAATTCAGCTTGGTAATTTTTTGAAGGCTTTGTTTCAAACTATGAGGCAATTTGTACACCATCCAAATACATGACAGCTGGGCCAGGGATTTAGCTCAGTGGTTCCACTGCCTGCCTCGCAAGTGCAAGGTCCCAAATTCGATCCCCAGTACCAAAAAACAAAACAAAAAACAAATACATGACAACTGATGGACAACATACATCATTTCATGGTCATTACAGCTTTGGGCAATCTAGGACAAAGAAACTGTCCAAATATGGTATAAAAATATATGCTGTGGTGGTGCAAAAAATATTTTACATCTTGTATTTAGAAATTTATTCTAGAACTTCACCTCCGCATCTTTATTCATACAATAATAAAAGAACACCAGATGACCAGCACAGGAACTATTTGCAAGAACAAAGTGGGGATTTTTGAAAAAAAATGTTGCAAGTTTATAATAGAGAAATGTATATATAGTACAATCCTTGGATTTCAGAAAGACATCATATTGGCCTTATAATAAGGCATAGAAAAACAAAGTAGTATCGACCCTGTCATTGTTACAACATGATGATTAAGACTGATAGTGACTCAACACAAATGAAGCCAGAAAAGGTCACATTTTACAAAACGAGAGGGAGAGAAGATGTTGACGAGTAAGAAAGTATGATGTCTCTCAAAACACAAAGCATTGGCCAGTGGTTGCATTTGACTCGATCCTAAACATGGCAGGCGTAAATGGTATAGTTTACAATGAGAATAAAAAGCACAAATATCACAAAGAGATTTTCTTAGAGAGTTGGGACTGGAATTGATAAAAGCTCAATTACAACAGAGGAAGAACAATGTATATCAGCCAAAAGAACTTTGTAAAAGGATCCCTGAACAGACCGGTGAACAGACAGATGAAATACCACGAGAATCTCCTAATAAAACAGCAAGACCACCAAGATGGCAATTATGTCCTACAAAAAAGGGCAGGAAAACAAAACACATGTGCTACCACTGTAAGTGATACTTGTGTCTGGAATATACTGTTTTCACTTGTGAAGATTTCTTAGGAGTCATAATTGAAGTAAAAATTATTTTTGTTGTAGAATTTTATTTTTATTTTCATTTTAGTTCATAAAGGAATTTATTTCTGTTGTTATATTTTTAGATTTTTTTAAACCCAAAAAAGTTGATGTTGACAATGTTGATATTTATTATAAACACTTAAAAATGTTAAGAATCTATATGCCGCCTGCCTTACAAGCACAAGGTCCCAAGTTCAATCCCTGATACCAAAAACAAAAAGAATCCAATACTTAACTTTATTGTTACTTTGTTTTCCTGTTAAGTACACATTGTGTAATATAATAAAACTCATAAAATGAAAATAATTAATCTGAACATCATAAATGAGTTTTTAAAATCCAGCTAACAAACCAATAAAAAGGACCACAAATGGACCAATAATGAGCCCGGATTAAGGAATGTGATTTATACAATTTGATGCACCTGGGTTCCAATAAGAACCAGAGAAAGCATGCAAACAAGACACACTGTACATATGACACACAACAGTACATACATGCCAAAGAAACTTCTACTGGTACAGTGAGTATTATACTGATGTCAGAATGATTTTGTTTAAGCAAAAAAAGTCACTTGTCACAGTGTCAGTGCTCTAAGAATTTGAGTTTTATTGTGCTTGTAATTTTGTTTATATTTAGTTTGTAAGTTTCAATTTTAGTTTAATAGTAGTTCTAGTGTTTACATAATAGAATTTCCAGCTAGACTTTAATTTATACTTATATTCTATTAGGGCTAATCTAAATAATCACTGGAGAGCCAATTAAAAATTTTTATCTCAAAAGCAGCCTGTTCCATATTCACCTTTGAAGGGCGCTGTGCTACACTCTCAGTGGTTCTTTCTTCAGTGTCCTTTATTCCCAGGGAACACCTAACAGATGTTGAAACACTTCTCATGTTATGCCATCCAACATAAAAATTTCTTCACAATCAGTGAGCAAACCTTAACTATTTCTTTGCCTTTATCATGACAACACTCAAGGGTATGATGGGCTTCTCCACAGCCTGTGTGATGAGTATCTCAAGAGATTAACAGCAGAAGCAAATGGGAGAGGCCAGAATTTAAATTTAGTCCTGATTGTTAAGCCAGGCATTAAAGAGATGAGCCAAAATATAAAATAATGAAATTGTTCTCATTACAATGTTTATGTGAAAAATACATATTCTCCCCTAAGTGGCATGGCCTGCGTGGCAAAGGTTTGAGGCCTGAGTAGGGTGGTGGAAGATGGAAAAAGGAGAATTAAAGAGCGACCAGGTGGGGCCTCCGTGCCTGCTGAGCGAACACCACAGCCCTCCTGTCACTTTGTTTAAAGCATGAGGAGCGGAAGTACAAACAAACAAGGAGATGGGGCGGGGGTCATTGGCAATGTGTTGTTCTAATGCCTTCTGAGACTGATAGGGCTGTGGGAACAGGGATATGCAAGCTTGCTGCTCCTAGGACCATGTCAGCTAGGCCTACAATAAATAGAGAACGAGGAGCATTTCCTTGCACCCTGAACTATCTACACTGGCAGGGTAAATCGGGGCACAAAGGGAGGGAAATCATGAATTGCAGGAGGTGAGCAAGATGCCTCCTGATCGTGGCACGATCCCGAGCGGGCTCCTAACATCTAAATACATTATGAGTGTGATCACATAATGAGTTTACCATTGATATATTTAAATGAATTAACAAGTATTTTAAAAATCTTTCAGTTTTATTTTCTAGTAAATAAATATCCGCTGTGGTGTGCACCCCACAAGTTCATGTGCTGGAGATGCAATGCAGCAATGCTGGGGCCGGGGTCTCGTGAGAGGTGTTTGGGTCCTGAAGGCGAAGTCCTCCTGAAAGGGTTGATGGCTTTCTCTAATAAATGGTCAGCCACCATGGCTGGCCCATTTTCCTTCTCATCTATGTGTCTTTCCCCCTCCTCCAACTTACTTTTACCATATTGTGAAGCAGCAGGAAACAGCACAAGAGGCATCCACCCCATCCTGGAATTCTCAGACTCTAGATCCATAAGCCTAAATAAACTTCTTTTCTTTATCAATTTCCTAGTCTCAAGCATTTTGTTCCAGTAGCATAAAATGGAATAAGCAATGTCATTAGATGACATTCACATAAACAAAAGCTCTTTAAGATCTTTAGTAAAAATTTTAAATGAAGGGATTCACAGACCAAAAATTTGCTTTAATTTATCCACTTGTATATTCTAACTAGAATGACACTGAAATTCGTAAGACATCAACTAGCATCATGTCTCACACTGGGAACTTACACAACTCTGAAAGGAAATGAGGTAAGTTCAGCAGGTTGTCAAGGTGACAAGCTCATGAGACCATTCAGAGGCAGACTCTTAGCTAAGGGCAAGTGCGGGGGCAGGGGAACAGGGAAAAAATAAGAACCAAGATACGTCATGTAAAGGTACAAGTTCTCAGTGATGAATGCAACCGTCTTGTATACCTAAAATGTACCAATGAAAGAATTTAAGAGAGGAAAAAAGAGAAGAAATGGAGGAGCAGGTGTTCGTGTACAAGTTCTCAGTGATGAATGCAACCGTCTTGTATACCTAAAATGTACCAATGAAAGAATTTGAGAGGAAAAAAGAGAAGAAATGGAGGAGCAGGTGTTCACTAGTTGATAGGTAGAAGGTTAAAATTTCTGAAATTTCTGGAATAATCAATTACAAATTTTTATATGAATAGAATGGCATAAAAGACCAATTAACAGCACAGGAGGATAAAGAAGATCAGGCCACCAATGTCTGCACTCCGCATGGAGAGTCACCACATCCAGGTGGGCACTTTCTGGGGGAGAGACTATGGTCACCTTAGCAGGAGGCTCAGAAAGGTGGCATTTTTACTTAAAATTTGTAATCAATCATGACATACGTGCACACACACAGGAAGAATGGTCAGGTCTGTATCAGCTCCACACAAATCACTTCTCATAAACTCTGGGGGAAAACTGCTTTGAACAGATAATCTCCATTTCAATATTTGATGAAAAATGCAATGTCTGCTTCTTTTTCTTTTTTTTTGGCATTCTTTCCATGGCAGAGAAATAAGGCATATTTTAAGCATTTATGAAACTTTCTAGGCCTTTGCTTAAGCCCCACAGGGATATAAATCTGGATAATAAACTCAACAAGAAATGCATTTTTAAAGGACATTGTGCTATGTTGGAGGGTTGGATGATGAAAACCTGTGAAATATATGTATATTTTAATATCTAATATTGGCTTAGACCTTTTGATTTCATGAAACTAGTTAGCAACATCACTCCATTCCTTCTTTTTCAGTTCTTCAAATTTGCTGTTTGCTCAGAAAAAAATAGACATTTTATCTTACGAAGTTTTGGAATAGTTTTAGACCTATGCACCTCATTTTTCATGCAATTGAAAAAAAATAATTCTAGCTCAGAAATTTGTAATAGAAATTCTGCTTCCTTAAATGCAAGGCCAGTAAATTTTGGTCACCTCTGTCACATTTTATGTAATCTACTTACACAGATACTCGTTTTAGGCCCATGCATATAACTGAATACACAGCAGCATGTCTGGGTCTGTAGCATGTGTGAAGGTTGGCCCTTTTCCCTGTCCCTTACTCAGGCCTTCCTGCACTTTAGGTTGGCATCTCAGAAGCAGTGTGCCAACATAGCCGTATTTTTATCTTGCTCTTCAGCTGTACACAAACACAGACATTTTCTTATTTCAACAAAAGACCCTGCTGTTAACAAGCAAGCCTGAAAATCTTCAAAGGTCTCTTTTAAGCATGGAAATTATCTCATAAATTCTTGCAATCTTAAGAAGCCTTCATGATATTTTCTCTGGCAATCCTTTACCCTTGCCTCCCACCCTTCCCTAGCCCACCTCCCAATCCTAAGAGCTCATCCTCGATTTCATCACATTTGGTAGACAGAGAATCCTTGCTGAGATCCAAACTCTCCATCCATCAGGGCACCATTCTTTTAAATTGATGTGCTGAGCCACTAAAAGAGAGGAACAAATTGATTTTTAAAAGTCAATAAAGTATAAACTACACGAATTCTAAAGCAGTGTTTAGGATTTCTATGTGCTATTATATTTTCGTATCTACATAAGGAAGATACTGCAGAAAAAGCAGAGTGGAAGAGAATATAATGCTTCTCCTTTATACCTACCATAAACAATTTGAAAAAGAGTCTCTTTTGTACAGCACATAATATGTATTTCAACAATCCCAGTTTTGTTTTAAAATTCATGCAAAGGAAAATTAAATAATTATATGGAAACAACTGAGGAAATGAGACGTTAAAGAACATTTGATATTGAATTCTAACTACCCATCCAATCAAATGCTTTACTTTCTGCCTTTACTTGTATATTTTATTTTTAAATTTTATTTTATTTATTTATTTGGTACCAGGTATCAAACTTAGGACCTTGTGTTTGCAAGACAGGCAGCTGAACCACTGAGCTACATCCCCTGCCCCACTTGTATATTTTAATACTCTAGTTTTATAAGCTCAATTTAACCTGATGGGCTCAACAGCTATTACCTTGATAATATGTTCTTTTCTAATTATTTGAAAATAGAAAAATGCTTTCACATAGACAAAAAGTTCAATTAGTTCTAAGAGCTTCATGTTTAAAGATTGTCTAGAGCTTCGTTTGTAAATTGTTCTTGCCTGGATCCATTTCACATTCTTTCCATCAAGTAATTACATAATCTTTCATTTTGATTAAGAAAATTTGAGTTACCTTTTACTGGTCAGCTGGGTAAAGCATTTATCAAGAATGCTACATACATAAAGAAATGGTACATGTTTACGGAGTTGACTATGTCGAACTTGATGTAAAAAGTACACAATATATGCATATCTGGAAACATCACAAGGTGTTTCACTGATGCATACCATTTTTATGTATTTATATGTTAGTTAAAAATAAATAAAAAGAATGCCACAAAAGATGACTCATTTCAAAGGCATAGCTCTTGAAAAGTAAGCCACTATGTAGACCACTACTATACACTGATATAGAATACATAGAATGTTGATGTGTTAAGTAGTAAACTGCTCAAATGGAAGCTTGTTGACATGTGTGTGCATGTGTATGTATGGGTAAATGTGTGTTTATATATACAATGAAATGCGAGTAGACTTGTGTTACTCCCGAGTTCTTACTCATTAGTTTTTTTCAAAAGAATATTTCTTAACTAAGTGCCAAAACCTTCATGCAAATGTTGTAAATGAACTTCTGGAAATCGTCTTCCTGTAAATTTCATTGTTTGAGGTTTTGGATTTACAGTGACCTTTCTGTGTCTTTTTAAAAAGTCAATCTTTTCTTTTGGAATATGGCTAGCAGAGATAACCTACTGTCTTAGTCACCTGCCTGGTTGCCAGAACAAATTTCTGACACCCACAGTTTAAAGAGGAAGTTGATTTTGGCTCACAGTTTCAGTGGGTTCATTCCATGGTCACTAGCTCCAAGGCCTAAGCAGGATAGAAGGGCCTGTGTGGAGGAACACCGCTCACGTCATGGCAGCCAGGAAGAGGGTGGAGGAAGGAGCTGCGGAAGAAAGTTGCCCTAACATCTCACATCCTAGTAACCTACCTCTTCAGACCAGGTTTCACCTCCTGACCGCACTTTCCTCTACCAACTCATCAGTAGAATCCACTGAAGAGTACAGTGCCCCCAACTTTCAATCACTTCCCCACTGCATGGTTTTGGAGGGACACCCCGTATCTGTACCATTAACATCTACCTTCCTTTAAATGGTAGGGAAAACCCAATTTCAATGAGAGCCAACACTCATGGGATGCCTATAAGTGCAAGGAGGATTTCACAAAGGGGACAAAAGTGGCGTTAAACATCTATGTGCAAAGCCTGCCTCCATCCTTGACTGAGTTTGTGAATCTGGCAAAATATTAGCCTCTCTGTTGCTGTATTTTCTATCTATGAAATGGGGCTAATCATAGAAAGTGTTTCTCTTAGAGCTATTTCTTGTGTTAAAGATCACACATGTAAGCTGCTTAGCAGACTATTGAGTACATAGGCATCCATTGATATAAACTTTGATAGTGTTATATGAAATTGTTTATATTATTTTGTGTAAAAATGAGTGTCCTTGATATCTAAGAGTTCCACTTTGTGAGAAGGGCAGTCAAATACACAAGTAACTAAAATAAAATCCAATACTCTTCTATGTTAGTATAAATATAAATAAGTGGAATGAGAGAATGAAATATTGGGAAAATTCTATGGAGGAAATGAAAGAAGAGAGTAGTTCCTTAAAAGAAGCAGTAGCGGAGGAAGTACTTACAGATAGAAAGAAAAACTAATAACCAGGATAAGGAAGATACTTACAGAATTTAAGAAGAAAACCATGTGACTAGAACACATGGTAATTGTCATGGTAAAGTGAACAGTTCTAGAATCAGTTCAGAGAAGAATAAAAGACTCTAAAGTTGGCCCCTGAGAAGACAGGAGAGGAAACTCTCTCTCTCCCTCCCTCCCTCTCTCTCTCTCTCTCTCTCTCTCTCTGGCACTCCTTGCCTTGACCTATTCCCGAAGGCAGAAATACCCACCTGTGTGCTCTGGCGTGCAGGGACTCCAGCAACCCAAGGAAGCGGGAGCCTGTGGTGGGCCGTGAACTAAAGATGAATCAGCTGTGCCACAAATCAGGCCCTAAAAATCAGACACATCTCTCAGGAATTTTTTCTCTTTTATTATCTTCTGGCCTTCGGTAATGCCAGGTTTAATGTCAGCCTTGTTCCTAGTGTGTTATTTAGGGTGTTCATGGGGAGCAAATGTCACAAGTAAAGCAGGGTTTGTTCCATGTACTAGAAAAATTAATCCTGTAATAGGATGATATTCCTGCTTTAAGATTGCATGGAATCAAGAAGAATGTATTTCTGAGAAAATTTAAACAGATGGGGCAGGAATATCATTCTGTATATGAGAATAGGAATTGGTTCCAGAGGACTTTGGTCTTTGTGGTTTAGATGTATGACAAAATTATTTAGTGACAGTAAGGATGACAGGTGTGAGTTAGGTGCCTTGAGATGCATTTCAAACAGTTGCTGCGGCAAGTGCAATGGGGAATCAATTAGAGTTAAATAAAAGAATTGCTGAGTAGCATTTGGGGCCCAGCTGAGAAATTTTTAAAAGGAGGGGGAGAGAGAGAGAGAGAGAGAGAGAGAGAGAGAGAGAGAGAGAGGAGAGAGAAAGAGAAAGAGAAACTGATTTTTACTAGTAACAAAGGTAAAGATATAAGGGAGACATCTTTTTGAGGAATTCAATTTAAACCCTTAAAGAAGGAATCTATATTGTTACTGGTGATCAAAGATAATGATGAGATAATAACAGTATGGTTTTCCATTGAAATCAAGCATAAAGAATTTATGTGTTGAACATGTATCTAAGTGATATTTTAAAAATAGAATAATCTAAAACTGCAAAGTCCATTGAATAAACAATTAAGTTACTTAATGATCTGTGCCTTTGTTTAATTGGCTAATTTCTGAAGATACTCTACTGTAGGTTATAGGCAATTTTGAGGGGATAATAGATATAATGAAACCACCAGAAGAAACGTGGGAAAAAAATAAGTACAATTAACTACCTGGGATGTAAGAGTGATAACTAACATTAGCCATTGGATTTAAAGATGGGATAGATGTTTTATACTTTATTATTCCTACTTACTGGGTTTTGTTTTTCCTAAAATTTCAAAAGCAACACTGCAGGAAGTGAACAACCTAAAAATGGACATGCAAACAGTCAGGGAGCAATAGTCTACTCTACAGTTTCTACTGATGTCACTCATTAGGCAGGGAGCGCAAGTTGCTGATGGTGCACTGTATAGGCTGCAGTGTTGACCACATGACTAGAGTTTGAAAGCAGATCCATCTTCAGTGTTCAGTTTCACAGATGTCTTGTGGCACATCCTAAGACCTGAAATTTTGCCATTTTAATTCATTCAGCACAGATACTGATGGCACCAGGGATTTTTAATTTTTTTCATTTATTTATTTTTAAAGTGTATTGGTACATTTTAGGTATACAATACAGTTACATTCATCATTGGGATCTTGTACCTTTACATGACAGATTTTGGTTCTTATTTTTCCCCATTCCTCAACCCTCGCTTCACCCCCTCCACCCTTCCCTGTTTATAAAGACATTGTTTCCATGTTTTTCCTTTTCTCATATTTTTTTTTCTTTTCCCATTTTCCCTTTCCCCTATCTCTCCCATTTCCTCTACTCTTTTAGATCTTTTTTTCCTATTACACAAAATCAGTTATATATCTCGATTCTTATTTACACTTTTAGTTTTTCATACCAGACAAACTATTCGGTATTTACACATGTGTGATCTATTAATTTCACTTAAGAGTATGGCCTCAATGTGCATCCACTTAGCTATAAATATCTCTAGTTTCTCATTCTTTATGGCAGAGTAGTACTCCATTTTATAAAAATACCACATCTTCTTTATCCAGTCTCCAGTTGATGGGCAATTGGGCTGTTTCCAAATTTTGGCTATTACAAACTGTGTCACTATAAACATGGGCGAGCTTATATCACTGTGTTAAGATTCTTTTAATTATTTAGGGAAGATGCCCAACAGGGAAGTAGCTGGTCAAATGGGACTTCTAATTCTAGTTATTTGAGGTATCTCCATATTGATTCCCGCAATGGTCCCACCAGTCTACCCTCCCTCCAACAACGAAGAAAGGTTCCTGTCTCCCCACAGCCCCACCAGCATTTGTTATTGGTTAATTTCTTGATAGCAGCCATTCTTACTAGGGTAAGGTGGAATCTCAGTGTTGTTTTCATCTGCATCTCTCAAATGCCAGTGATGTTGAACCTTTTTTCATATGTTTATTTGCTACCTTTACTTCTTTGTCTGAGAAATGTCTGTTCATTTCACATGCCTGTTTTTGAATTGGGTCTTTATATTTGGGGGGGTCTGATTTTTTTTTTTAAGTTCTGTAGATATTCTAGATAGTAGACCTTTGTCTGAGGAACAGCTGGTAAAAATTTTTTCCCCATATGGGGGGTTGTTTTAGCTCTGCTTGTGATTTCTCTGGTAGTGCAGAAGCTTTTTAAAAAGATGAAATCCCAGTTGCTGATTTTTGTTCTAGTTACTGTGCTATTGAGGATTTGTTCATAAAGTCTTTTCCTATGCTGGTATCTCCAAGAGTTCTACCTAACTTATCTTTCAGCAAGTTTAGTGTTTCTCTCCACTTGAATTTTAGTTTAATGCATAGTGAAAGATATGGGTCTAGTTTTAATCTTTAACAAGTTGAAATCCAGGTTTTTCAACATTATTTATTAAAGAGGCTATCTTTCTTGGAGGGTTGGCTCCTTTATCAAAGATGAGGTAGCTGAGTATGTCTGCAGTTGTTTCTGCATCTTCTAATCTGTTACAGTGATCCCTGGGTTTGTTTCTTTGTCAGTACCATGATGTTTTTAATCACAGTGGCTTTATTGTATAGTTTCAAGTTGGGATTGTGATATCCCCTGCCATATCTCTATTGCCTAGAATTGCTTTTGCTGTTCTAAGTCTTTTGTGGTTCCAAATGAATTTTTGGATTGTTTTCTCAAGGTCTGTGAAATATGCCTTTGGGACTTCAATAGGGATTATGTTGAATCTGTATAGCAGTTTTGGAAGTACGGCCATTTTCACTTCAATCTCTTTTTTAGAGTGTTGTAGTTCTCAATGTAGGAGTCTTTTGTTTCCTTTGTTAAATTGATTGCTAGATACTTCATTTAAAAAACTTTTTTCTTTTAATTTTTATTTTCACTGGCACAGGTTTGCAGTACATAATGATTACATTCCTCTTGGGCAGTTGCTGCCTGAACATACACACTTAATTAATTTGAATTTTTAAAATTGAGTTTATTGGTGCATTTTAGGTATACAGTACAGTTACATTCATGATTGCGATCTTGTACCTTTACATGACAGGTCTTGGTTCTCATTTTTTCCCCTTGTCAATTTGAATTTTTAAAAAGATTACTAAGAAAAGGAACCATGCTGGTAAAGGAGGACCTGGGGTGAAGAACTGTGTTTCACTTGTCAACTCTAACAGAGAGCAAGTCTGTTTGCTGGAGTGAGAGGAATGGGCCGCGTGGGCACTGTTGGAGGAAAGTGGAATATCAAATAAAATGTCAGTCAGCACATCCTCCAATATGTATTGCTAAATTCTCCATACGATTCACTTTGCCATCTTAAAATTCATTCTTTAGTTTAAAAAAGTATTCTTAATGAAGAAAAGGGCTCACAGTTTTCATTAATTTTTTTCTGTTATGTATATAAAATTCATTGTCATTAAAACTTTGAACTAATATCAAAGTTATAATTTAGCCAAATTACTGTGTAAAGAAGTTTACTTTTGGAGAGTCACTTGGTAAAAAGCTGATTTTTTTTTCAAGAATGACATCATCTGTATTTTAAGGTTGACATTCATTAATAATAAATTAAAATTTATTATAAAATGTTTCTAAAAATAGAAAAGTTGAAGTAAATGTGTAACGAATATCCCTATACTTGATTTTTTTAGTATTTGCTATGTTTGCTTTATTATGTGTATTTTATAAATGGAAATTATTTAACTGTGTGTTTATTCATAGCTATTCATGTACTTACCCCCCCCGTTAATCTCTCATTCAATTTTACTTTTAATGCTCTGCATTACTTTACAAAATAGAAATTGAATTATTTACATGTGCAGGTATTTTGATACTGTCCAGAAGAATCATAAAAATTCTTTGTTTTTAATTTTCAACAGATGTTCCATATTGCTGATGTAAAAAAAAATGCCACAAACTAAGTGGAGAAAATAATCACATTTATTTATCTTATGGTCTGCAGGTCAGAAACATGAAATGGATCTTACGGACTAAACTCAAAGTGTCAACAGGACTATGTTCCTTCTGGAGGCTTTCCATGAGACTGTGCCATCGATGGCTTATGGGCCCTTCCTCCACGTGAAAGCAAGTTACTCTGACCTTTACTTTCATGCTCCAATCCTGCTCTCATTCTACTGGTCCTAATTCCCTGCCATAAGGCATATGTGTCTAGCATGGGTCTACCCAGATTCGTAATCTAGGACAATCTTGCCATTTGGGTGTCACAACTGGAGAGTCCCTCCTGGCAACTAAGTAACATAGTCACATACCCGAAGGACTAGAGTGTGGGCCTCCCAGAAAACTATCATTTAGGTTTCCACAGGATGCTGCTGTCTCTGCTGTGTGCTTTGCCACTAGTGTACATGAGCACTGGGAGAAAATGTATGCTGAGTTTAATTCTTTGCCTGGTGCATTTTGTTCAATAAGGACTACTCTCTTGTCAGTGGCTCTGAATCACATTAGACAACAAAAGCATCAGTAAGTTACTAGA